AGATAGATAGATAGATAGATAGATAGATAGATAGATAGATAGATAGAGATAGAGATAGATAAATTGATATATTGAAAGATAGAGATAGAGATAGATTGATAGATTGATTGAGAGAGAGAGAGATTGATGATAGATGATAGAGATAGAGAAAGCTAGCTAGCTAGATGAGAGATAGAGATAGATAGATAGATAGATAGATAGATAGATAGATAGATAGATAGATAGATAGATAGATAGATAGATAGACAGGCAGACAGATAGATAGATAGAGATAGATAAATTGATATATTGAAAGATAGAGATAGATTGATAGATTGATTGAGAGAGAGAGAGAGATTGATGATAGATAGAGATAGAGAAAGCTAGCTAGCTAGATGAGAGATAGAGATAGATAGATGGATAGATAGATAGATAGATAGATAGATAGATAGATAGATAGATAGATAGATGATAGATAGATAGATATCCTTTACTTCTTATTGTATCATTAAGATTTCTCCTGGATTCTGTTTCTCCTTCATCCCTTTGTCTTCCTTGAAATTTCACTTTAATTTACAGGCAATCCTCGACTTACAACCTCAACTGAAATTTATGTTTCTAACTGAAACATTTGAAAGGGACTGTTGCCCCAAGTGAATCATTGCCATTGTTAACTTAGTAATATGGTCATGATAGAATAGAATACTTTATTGGCCAAGTGTGATTGGATACACAAGGAATTTGTCTTGGTGTAAATACTCTCAGTATACATAAAGAAAAGGTACATTCGTTAAGAATCAAGAATCATAATGTACAACACTTAATGATAGTCATAGGGTACAATCAACAATCAAATCATACTAGGAAACAGTCAAGTGGGAGGGGATGGGTGATAAGGAGAAGATTAACAGTAATAGTAGTGTACACATTGTAAATAGTTGAACAGTGTTGAGGGAATTATTTGTTTAGCAGAGTGATGCCTTTCGGGGAAAAAACTCCCCTTGTGTCTAGTTGTTCTGGTGTGCAGTGCTCTATAGCATCATTTTGAGGGAAGGAGTTGAAACAGTTTATGTCCGGGATGTGAGGGGTCTGTAAATATTTTCACAGCCCTCTTTTTGACTCGTGCAGTATACAGGTCCTCAATTGAAGGCAGTCCTAATTATCCTCTGAAGTCTGTGTCTGTCCTGTTGGGTTGCAAACCAAACCAGACAGTTATAGAGGTGCAGATGATAGACTCAATAATTCATCTGTAGAACTGGATCAGCAGCTCCTTGGGCAGTTTGAGCTTTCTGAGTTGGTGCAGAAAGAACATTCTTTGTTGTGCTTTTTTGATAATGTTTTTGATGTTAGGTGTCCATTTTAGGTCATGTGATATAGTAGAACCTAGAAATTTGAAGGTCCCTACTGTTGATATTGTGTTGTCTAGAATTGTAAGAGGTGGTAGTATGGGAGGGGTTCTTCTAAAGTCTACCACCATTTCTATGGTTTTGAGTGTGTTCAGTTCCAGATTGTTCCGGTTACACCACGAAGCAAGTTGTATAACCATAAAGGTTTATTGTTACTGTATATTTGCAGGTTCCTTGTTGGTACACATAAGTCTTCGCAGAAGCTAACATATGATGTTACAGTATCTGTGAGCTCATCTAGATCTGCAGAGGCATCTTCAAAAACATTCCAATCAGTGCAATCAAGGCAGGTCTGGAGTTTCAGCTTTGCCTCATCTGACCAAGTCTTCACTGATTTAATTGTTGGTTTAATGGTTTTAAGTCTTTGTCTGTAGGCAGGTACAAGGTGAATCATGCAGTGGTCAGAGTGTCCCACAGCTGCTCGTGGTAAAGACCTATAAGCATCTTTTACTATTGTGTAGCAGTGGTCTAAAGTATTTTTGCCTCTGGTGGGGCAATTTACATGCTGGAAATATTTTGGGAGCTCTTTCCTTAAATTTGCTTGATTGAAATCTCCTAAAATGATGGGAAGGGAACCTGGGTGTTTGGCTTCAGCCTCCATAATTTGATCAGCAAGAGTTTGTAATGCCTTGTTTACACAGGCTTGTGGAGGAACATACCCAGCTATTAGGAGAAATGAGGGGAACTCACGTGGAGAATAAAATGGCTTGCAGTTGATGTGTAAAGACTCTAAGTTTTCATCACAAAACTTATATATTATAGTTATATCCTGAGACCAGCTGTTGTTGATATATCAATATAATCCTCTACCCTTTGTTTTACCTGATGTCTCTTCAATTCTGTCTGATCAAATGTCTGAAATCCTGGGATGTATATGGTGTTGTCCTCATGAATTTGTAGATTAAGCCAGGTTTCAGTAAAACAAAGAACAGCTTCACTCATAAAGTGAATCTGGCTTCCCCCTTGATTTCTCTTGTCAGAAGGTTGCCAAAAGGGGATCACGTGACCCCGGGGCACCGTGGCCGTCATAAATGTAAACCAGTTGCCAAGCATCTGAATTTTGATCAGGTGACTGTGGGGGATGGTGCAATGGTCATAAGTGTGGGAAAATGGACCTTTTTTCTGGTGCCGGTCACTAAATGAAATGTTGTAAGTCAAGGACTATCTATATGCATTAGGCTGCATCAACAGAGGCAGGGGTGGGATTCAACCAATGTAACAACCGGTCTGATGAGCGCACGCATCTGTACCAAATGCGTGTTTCACA